TGCTAGGGATTGAACCTAGGGGCTATCCACCACTAAACTATATCCTCAAATCTTGTTAGATTTTTTACTTTGGACAAAGTCTCTCTATGTTGCCTAGGCTGCTCTCAAACTTGCGGTTCTTCTATCTCACCTTCCTGAGTAGCTGGTTTTTTCTTTTTTTTTTTCTCTTTCAGTACTAGGATCTTCACAGTGGCCTACATCCCCAACTCCTTTTATTTTTTATTTTGCAAAAGGGTCTTGTTGTTAAGTTACCCAGGCCAGGCTTAAACTTACAATCTTCCTGCATGCCCCTCCCAGGGTGCTGGGATTACAGGTTTAGACTACAAGATTATGGATTAATTGTGTGTGGCACTGTGTCTAGCCACATGATTCTTAAAACAACCCTATTCACTAGCATCATTTACAGTTGTCCAAACTGAGCTGTGGAGAGCACAGTTTTTTGCTAGGCTACCTAACTGGTAAGTGGCAGAGCCAAGATTCAAACACAGACTTGATTTTCCATCCTGCATTTTCCCACTGTAAATATGAACTCAGTCCAAGGGTTGAGGATGCTTAGAAGAAGGACCCTGGAGATGGGTCTTGGCATTTTTGCATTATCACACATGGAGGTATGGGCCCAGGTGAGGGGTCTGGAGAATTCAGTGCACTGCTTGGGGAAGCAGTACAAGACAGGGTCCTCACAGTTGACTAAGCCAACTTTGATTTTTTGAAAAAATTGAGGTAAAATTCACAACATAGTTAGTCATTTTAAAGTTTACAATTCAGTGGTGTGTAGAACATTCATGGTGTTGTGTTTATCTACTTCCAAATATTTTCATCACACCCAATGAGACCTGGTACCTATTCCACAGTCATTCCCCTTTCTCCCCTTCCTCCACCCCCTGCCAGGCACTCGTTTGCTTTCTGTCTCCCCAGATTTCTGTAGTCTGGGTACTTCATATAAATGAAATGGATACGATTTGTCATCACATCTTCCTTCTGATTCTTTCCCTTCTTACTCCCTCATAAGGACATCTGGGATGACACTGGCCCCACTCAGGCAATCCAGGATCATCTCCCTATCTCAGAGTCCCCAATTTAAGCACACCTGCAGATTCCTTTTACCATGTAAGGTGGAATATTCCCAGGTTTGGGTTATTAGACATGGTCATCTTGTCTACCACACGTGCCTTTTAAATAAGTGTCATTTTAACATAGGCAATCCAGTACCATTAATTATCATTTTAAAGTGGGCAATTTAATACCATTTACTGTCATTTTAAAGTAGGCAATCCAATACCATTTACGAGATTGATCTTGAGTCACTTTTCAGTTATGTAGGAGGCAAGGAAAAGAAAAGAAAGCAATCCAACTGGGCCCTAGATTTGACTGGAAAGATAAGGAACAGTGATTCCCAAGGAGGGGGCTCACATACATCATCTGGTAGGCTTTTCTATTCAGGCATCCCAAATTACAATACACCCCCCTTTGAGAAGCACTCCTTGCTGCTCCCCACAGAGTAACTTGTCTGTGAGAACTTTGTGTACTTACCATAGAGGGACTGGAAAAAGTTGGTATTCAGTGATGCAGAGAGATAGAAGGACAAATGTTAGACGCTGTGTTGGAAAGGGGAGAAGTAATGGGGCAGCACCTCAAGTGATGCTGATAAGGATGCTGACTCTCCTTTTCCCAAGATAGACTGTGGCTGTTCCTGGGTCAGTATGGCTTTAGGATTATGGGTCGGTGTGAGAGGCCCTGAAATCTGGAGAGGGGAGAAGAGAGAAGGGAAAGAGAAAGACAGACATTGATTACTGGAGAGTTCAAAAGTTTAAAAAGAGGAAGGACATCTTTATCTCTGCTCCTGTACAGGTTCTTTTTAATGGAGAGCTGCCAAGGACTGTTGGATTCCAAAACTAGTTTAATAAATTTTGGAAGGGAATGGATAGGGTTGCAGCAGTGGAAAGGAGTTATCAGGTTTCCTCTGATGAGCTTTTATGGCAGCCTAGGTCATGGAGCTGGACTGGTCAACCTCAGCTTCTGTCCTATTTAGATGAAACATTTTCATTCTTGGAATTTAAGAGGCAAATGCACTCAGATCTCTGCTGGGGGAACTGGGCCAGAGCGAGTGGCTCCATGTGCATGATGGCTGGCAGAGGGGAACTCAAAGATTTATGCATGGGTTTGTTTTTCACTGCTGCTGTGTAATAGGTGACTCTGTCACTGTGGATGTTATTTTGGAGATGGGTGACGCAGGTGTATTTTGAAGACAGGCATAATTAGGTAATTTTTAGAAACTCATTCAACATTGTATATGATGATGATGAGGCAGTTACAATGGGTGGTGGGTGTACTCGAGCCAGGAAGGGTGTCACATCATCTATAAGCGTGAACAGCCATGGATGAGTAATTTGGTCAGTGCTTGAGAACTGTTTATCAAAGTGACTTGCTGAGAGTTTGAGACCAATGTCATTTTTCTCTTCTTTTTCATTTCTCACCTCTCTGATTTGATTGTGGTCCTGCTTGGTCAGTTCCCTGGATCTGCCACTTATTGCCTATGTGAAAAGGGCAAATTGCCTTATTATTCCAGATTTCATTTCTTTATCTACAAATAGCAATAGAAAACAATATCTGCCTCCTGGGGCTGTTGTAATGATAAGATATCAAATGTAAACTTGGATCTCTGGAAAGAGTAGGTGATCAGTAAATGTTAGTTTCTTTCTTCCTTTCTCGAGATAAGAAAACTGATGAGATCAGTCTGACATTGACTTATTGGTGGTCTTCAAATACTTCAAAGGGAGTCACGTGTCACAGAAGAAGGGCACATTATTTGGTGCTGCAGAGAGCAGAAAGAGAGCTAGCAGATTAAAATGGGAGACAGATTTCAGCTCACCATAACAAAGAATTCTGTAATAATTAGAGCTGTGTTCTTACACAGTGGTGCTTATGAAGTAATCAGAAATTTGTCTTGGAAGTATCTGATTAGAACAGGATTTCTCAACAGTGTTACTACTGACATTTGGGGGGACAGATAATTTCTTGTTGTCAGGGGTTGCACTGTGCTCTGTAGGATGCTTATCAGTACCCTGGGCCTTTACTTATTAGATGCCACTAGCAACTTTCCTTATCCTGCCTTCACTGTGACAACTAAAAATCTCTCTAGACATCATCACATGTCACCTGGAGTATGAAATTGCCCCTGATTGAGAACTACTGAATTTGAGGGTAAATGACAGCAAAGTAAACTCCATCCTCTTCAGGTCAACTATCTTGCTTATATTGGGTTCTTACAAACTTAGTTCTGGGAGTAACATGAGTTCTGGGATTGGTTTTTTGGTTGGGATAGTTGATCCCTAATACCTGGGATGAAGGCTCAATACAGGTGAAATGGTAGGGTTTAGTTTGGGCCCAAGAGCAGCAGAGGACCCTGGTTAGAAGGCCTAGGGTTGTCTAATGGTTTGTTTCTCACTGTGGTTTTGCAGGTCATGTTAGCAGCTTCTTATTGGTCTCTCCTGGCCCCAGCAGTTGAGATGGCCATGTCCTCAGGGGGCTTTGGTGTTTTTGCCTTCATCCCAGTGGCCGTTGGCTTCACACTTGGGGCTGCTTTCGTCTACCTGGCTGACCTCCTGATGCCGCACCTGGTAAGTACCATTTTCCTTTAGGCTGTGGTCTAGGAAACACCCAGCTCTGTGCAGTGGATTTATTTCTGTTTATCTTCTGGTAACCATTATGTCTCTGTTACGTAGCCTGTGGAACCTAAACAGATAAGGCATTAGAGGAAATCAGTGGTGATTTCTTCCAACTCTCAGGGTAATGTAATTAATCATCCCATTATTTACATTTTGGTAAGTTCAGGCTTTGAATGTCAGATGTCATTAAAAAACATAGTGTGGGCTGATGTTGTGCTGTATACATATATATATATATATACGAACAGACCTGCAACTGGGCAGAGGAAGTGACTGTGATCATGGCCTTTGCTGAGCTTATGATGTGCCTAGGGAGATGACAGTGCACCCAACTATAGCATAAGACTGTTGGTAACACATCCCCTCAAGCTGGGCTTATGGAGGCTGAGGTGGGAAGGCTGGCCAATTTGAACTCATTTGTGTCATCGCTAGTTGTACATCCCTTCGTTCCGGGTTTCTTCTCTATGATATGAGGATAGCTCCACCGAGGGACTGTGAAAATAGAGAAATAAATAAAATTTTAAAAAGCACCAAAATTGGGGGTGATTTAGACATTTTAGGCCTTTTTTGCTGAAGTCATACCAATGGGTTGAGTTTGGAAGTGAGCTGTGTACTTATGCATAAAACAGCCTCTTATGGCTGAGCAGAGACAGCCAGGGCTGCCAACCACTGGCTATACAAGCCATTATCGGATGTTACTGGTGATACCAACAACAGTATGGGTGGGCACATGCAGCCTTACCAGATAATGAGCCCCAATTAATCCTAAGGGTGGGCAGAAGCACCCCAAACTGGTGCCTGGAAGCCCTGCTCACCCAGAAAGGGGGGAGGTCCAGGAAAAATCACAGGGAAAGAATGAGGTCTGTCTTGGTTACTTTTCTCTCGTTGCTGGGACAAAATACCTGACACCCAAAATTAAGGAAGGAAAGGTTTATTTCGCTTACAGTTTGTGGAGGTTTCAGTCCGTACTTGGCAGATTACAAGGCAGACTGGCCCATGGCAGAGGGCTACAGCTCATGGCAGCAGAACACAGCAAAGCAACAACCACACACCAGGGAGGAATGGGGGAGGAATGGCTTCAAGCACTCTCTTCCTCTCCCTTACATATACAAACTATCTACCCCAGGGGTTCAGCAGCTCTCACACCACCCTTAATCAAACTCTAAAAGCCTGACCCATGGCCACATGAGGCTTTCGGGGGACACACAGACATAAACCATAACAAAGTCAAAGGTATTTCTTCTGTTGGATCATGGCAAGGTAGGAGTCAACAAATGTGTACCCCAGGAGGTGACTTATGTTCTCCTTCCTAACTACAGGTCTTCTTTCTTGCCTTAAATTCCCAGCTGGAGAAAGAGAAAGAGCAATCCCTAGGAACTTTACTTCTGGGCTCTGGGGCTAATGATAAACTGATTACTCCTAGGACAGAAGGACTCGGTCTCTGGATCAGACAGTTGATGTGATGGTTGGAAGGACAGCTGTGATGCTGTCCTGAGGAAACACCATCTGTGAAGTTTTTCATGAAAAGCTTGAGTGGCAGTGTCTGTTTCTGCCTCCTGGACACTTGGTAGCTTCTTTGCTGTCGAGAATATCTGAGTGGTGGTGGCAGCTTTTAGAAGCCCTCACTGTACAATGCCATATTCTCCTCTTAAATACACCTTACCTGTACGTAAGCTTGCTATTGCAGTATATCCTACTTGTTCAGGCAGGAAGGTCTTGTGGCCAGTGGTCTGAAGCCCTGAATAATGAACAGGAATCTGGACACAGCCACTGCTGTGTCATCTTCTGCCCTCTCGCTTGGACCCACCTGGGCCCTTTGCAGTCACAGTGGGTCATTAATGGCACTGGGAATGGGGATGGAAGGATGGTGTATATTTGATCAGCTGTGTGAACAGAGGGGCTTTCTCTGGGTAGTGTAAACAGTCATGGGCCAATTTGTACCACAGCATGTACATTTTTTTAACCTTTTGGACCCCGCTTGTTCTAATGCGTGCTTTGAATATGGAGAAGCTCCCAGCAGTGAATTCTGGATAGATTACGTAGAGACGGAAGAATGGTTTGGAGTAGGGGCTGAATGTTGGGGAGTTGAGGAGCAAGGGCTCAGAAAGGGGCAGAAGAGCCATTAGTGTCTGGAAGCTCCCTGATTGGCAGAAAGACCAGCCTGGCAGTAAACACCTGTTCTAGGACACTTGAAATTAATTCTCACTGTTAACAGAAGAAGAGGAATCATGTAAAAGTTCTTATAAGTAGCGGGGCCTTATTTCTAATTGCTGCAGTCACTGAATACAAATGTTCTTGAGAGAGTCATGCTGGCAACAGCCTGTTGACGTTCACTCTGAGGCCAGCTAAAGGTTCGCTGGATGTCACTATTAATTTGCTTGCCAAACCTGAAAAGGGCAGCAGCTTGTGTGTAATGAAGGTGCTCTGAGGAGATGATGGAGAACTTTTCCTCCCTGCTGCATGCAATTAGGGCAAATGATATGATTTGATCATTACACATTATACACATGTTTCAGAATATTTCAATGTACCCCATAAATAATGTACAATTATTCTGTGTTAATCAGCAGTAAAATAAAATTAGCTAAATGTGTATGTCTATACATTCTTCTGCAAAGAATGCCAGAGACAGCCAGAGGAGGAGCCTGGGAAGAAGTGAGAGGAGGAAAGGCATTTATTCTCAGGGCCCACCTGCAGGGGCAGCATAGCAGCAGGGCATCTCAGATCCACCCACCCAGCATAAGCAGGTGAACCACGCCCTGCATCTGTAGCCTGGGACCAGCAGAGGGGCAGCTCAGGTGTTCTCGCATTGTCCCGCACTGAACTAAGGACATCTGGTCCAAACAGAGGGTGTCAAAAAGCAGTCAGAGAACTCGGTCTCTTCTCATGTCTGTGAGTGCCCCCTGCCACCAGGAGATACTGAGACCTTGGGTTCCACCACCAAGGGAGACCCCAGCACAACAAGGACATGACCGGGAAGCCTCCTTGTGTGCTCACAGCCCTGAAATTCCCAGCCAATGCCCAGAGTCAGGGGTGGCCAGCAGGGCCCAGGGAGGCCTGCTGCTGGGACCCTTTCACAGCACAGAGACTGCAGGGGACGCTCCTGAAAAGGACCTCACCCCAAAGTGCAAACAGCCCACCTATCTCTCAGCAAGCGCATGGCCAAAGAAACTATGCTGCATTCAGAGAGAATGTGATATTTATCCCGAATCTATCACTCTGCAGAATTTCATCATACTGCAGGAAACTGGGAATGCGCTATTTCTCACATGATGTCTTTTTCACTGTCTGATTTTTTCCTCCAGTTCTGAGAATTGAAACCATGGCTTCACCCCTGCTAGGCAAAAGCTCCACCACAGAGCCACCACCCCAGCCCACCACTCCTTACTTCCCTCCACACAAAGGGCCATTGTTATTGTTGATGATTTTAACTGTAGACAGTACTGGAATAAAATGTTGCCATATTCATAAAATTTTCATGGATAACTACTTCTGAAATGCATACAAAGATATCGAAGTATTGTTTGAAAAGCAAATAGATATGAACAATAAACTGAGGACATTTAATACAAATTTCATTTAGAACCCTGAGAAGAAAATAGAAAGAATTGTTCAAGAATGAAGGCTTTCCTGAATTGTTAAAATTTGCAAACTTGGGAACTTCAATCCTTTGGGTGGCTTCCTAAGAATCATATGTTTAATAGAAAATGATGGAAAAATATACGTTAATCGTACAAACAGTTCTACTTGTTATGCTGCAGTAGCCAGAGGTCTAAAAAAAATTGTTCTTGTTGTTCCATAGAGGAAACATATCCCAGGGAGCATGGAAAAACAAATATAACACTTGTGGAAAAACAAATAAAATAAAGCCTTTAGGTTAAATCAGAAAGAAAACACCAGTCAGAGAGTTTATTCTCTCTTAAACACCACTGTGTACACACATTCACAAAATAATTTGGTTTTTTTCCGGTACCAGGAATCGAACTCACGACCTCGCGCTTGCCAGGCAGGCACTGTGCCACTGAGCTAAATCCCCAGCCCCCACAAAATAATTTGGGAAAGCATCATTTACTTTCTTTTCTCCTGAGGTCAAACCTGACTTATGCATCTTTTTATTAGAATTGATTACGTTGGTCATGAATTATGTACTTCTGACTAATATGGCACTAACTAATCACAAGTGACTATCACATGGTATTCTGTGCACACCAGGGCATTCTGTGTACACCTTAGCAAAGGATCTATCAGAAACACACATTTGCATCTACTTGCCTCTGATTATAATTACACAAAGTATTTTAAGATAGTACTTCACATTCAAGTTATGTTGGAATAAATTACTTGCTGCAAGGGGTGGTGCTGCACGTCTATCACACCAGCAGTCGGGGAGGCTGAGGCAGGATGATGGCATTTAGAAGCCAGCCTTGACAATTTAGCAATTTAGCAAGATTTCGCTCAAAATAAAAGAGGAAGGGAGTTGGGCATATAGCTCAGTGCCAGGCCCAGAGTTCAGTCCCTAATACCGCAAGGAAACAAACAAACCAAACAAAACAACCACAAAGAAAAGAAGAGAAAACAAGGAAAGAAAGAAATAACTTACTTGTTTTCTAAATTGCTATACATGATACTTTTCACTGGCAGGTTTTAAAATGTACAAAAAAATGTGAAAGCTAGAAAAAGAACCAAGCAATAAAATGGAAGACCGTATTGGCCTGAGGGCAGAAATAAAAAGAGTGGGAAAATAAAACCTGTGAAAGGATATATAGACGATGCCATGAATCTGTGTGTGTAAAAATGTGCAATATTCTGACTGTGTGTTGTTGTCTAGGTGACAAGTGTGTTGAGGGAACAGAGCAGGGAGCAAATAATTACCCGCTCCTTCAAGTCAGGGAAGGCACACATCAGGAAATGCACATACAAGTGTAAATATAAACACAGGCATAACTAAACGG